CCAATGAACGAGAACCAAGTATGAACACAGAGGGAATTTTGGGAGTAGCTGGAAGAGTTTTTAGCTCAAGAAAACGTGAGGAAAGTGTTGTGCGTTGTCAAACCGTGTGTTTGTTGCAAAGCACCTGCCAGCTATTTATAGGAGGATTTGTTGTGTGTTAAATGGGGTGTTAATGGACCTGAACGTTGGACATCAATGACCAGTCCGTTGGGCATTGAATCGTCCATAAACTGTCCATTTAACGCAGCATTAAAAGATAAGAACGTTGGGCAGTAATTGTTGTAACGGAAGAAGTGCGCGGCAGAAGACCCCAACAGAACACCCCTTGGAGGGGTTCTGTCCGAAGCCAACAGAACTCCCCTCGGAGGGTTTCTGTCTGAAGCCAACAGAACTCCCCTCGGAGGGTTTCTGTTCGAAGCCAGCAGAACACCCCTTCGAGGGGTTCTGTTCGAGGCCTTCTGTCCGGAGCACTTCTGGGAAAAAAATAAACGTTTCGGGAAGAAAACAAAAATTAACCGTATCTCTTGAGGGATAGATTTTTGGACGGCATTCGTGTCCGCAGGTCGCCCGCGCACACGAGTCGCGGTTTTTCTTCTCCGTTTCGGGATTTGATCGGCACCCCCCTGCGCGTAAGAGAGAGCTTTTCCCTTTAGGAATCTTAACTCCTTAAAAGAGGCTTCCCTTTATAAGGGGGTGAAAATCCCTTGAGTTTTTCGGTGTGGGATAAAACACACTAGAAACTCATCATTTTTCCCAGTTTTTCCATTTCAACGAGTGAACTTCGAGAATCAATTTCTCATTCACCCGTTATCCGTTTTGAGTGTACCACGTATCGAATTGTAGCCCTTAACAAGGACAATTCGAAACCACTTTGACCCGACCCAAATCGGAAGTGGACCCCACTCAAATAATTGCCCCAAAATGACCATTTAATGCAATTTTTTTAATACATTTTTCCAACAACTTCATCACAATTACAACAAAGTACTCTCTCTCTCTCTCTCTCCTCGATGCCATCTCTTTTTGGGTAAGTAATTTAAAAGGTGGATTATTTGGTAAGGGGTTATGCTTGCTCCAATTATTACCCCCTCCTTCCTGGATTGGATAATGGAAGAGAGTTGGGATCTGCCTGTTCCTTTTATTCTTTTAGTAAAAGCTTCAATTTTCTTCAATTGATTTCTCACTAATTCAACAGTAGAATCTAGTGTAGTTGGACTGAACATTCTCACAAATGATTTCAGCTCCTCACCGAAGCCACTGATAAAACTGGAAATAAAATATGGATCACTGAATGCTCCTTCATGCATCATTAACAAGCAAGACTTTAGTTCATCATATCAAACCTTTCTACATATGCTTCAAAATCAGACTCTATTCTTAATTTATTGAGCTCTTCAATAACCACATATTTCCTTAACCCTTCAAACCTTGTAGACACCACCCTCATAAATTGTTTCCATGTTAATTTGGTTAAATCATTTTCTAAATGCTGGAACCAGGTTAAAGCCTTCCCCTCAAAATGCATAGTAGCTACAACTACTCTCTATTCAGGTAAAAATTGTGACATAAGTCTAAAATATCCTTGGCACTTCACAGCCCAAGCTCTAGGTTGTGTTCCATCAAACCTGGGGAAATCCAGTTTCGGAATTGGGGCATGTGGATGATAAGTGACCGAAGTATCATTTTACTTACCAATTGTTATTATTTGCTTCTTGTGCAGATTCATTGGTGTTTTGACAAACGAAGGAGGTCCTAGAATGGATCCGAACTTAGATGAAGATGTTTCTCCTACACCTGGTGAGGTATCTCAGGATTGGGTTGACTTTCTATGGTGTCCAGTCTCTTTTGAGTTTGGCTGAGTTGTTTGAGGATTTCCACCTGAACTTCCTATTGTTTCTACTATATTTCATTGTGCTTTTTGATCAGTCGCCTCTCTTCTTTTGCCCCTCCAAGCAATCCTTCAAACGTGTTCCCCTAACCATCTTGTAATACCCCAAAAATTTGACAGAATTTGGGAAATAATTAAAATTATGTTTCGTATCGTTTAGACAGTCTTTAGGTAGTTTACTATGGTTGGTTTATTGTTTGGGACCAATGGGGGTTCAAACGGGGAAGAAACTGGGTAAAAACTGAGATTTGGGCCGCCTGGGAGTCACGCACGGCGTGCGTGGCAAGTAAATCAAGCGGAATAGCTACTGCCAGACACGCACGGCGTGCGTGGAAGGTACACACGGCGTGCGTCCTTGTTTTATCCTAATGCGACTCAAACTTCGGAAATTCACTATAAATACATCCATAATCCGATTTTCCTCATTCCAAAAACCCTAGGACCGCCTCTTCAATATCTATCTATTCCGGATCTTAAATATTAACATAAACAACACGATTTTTGAGTCCAAGAACGTGATCAAACAATCCAATCTTTCGATAAGTACGTTTGTTGCCTAATTCGCATCGTGTATCCATTTTCTTGATTTCTTTCTCTTAAATTGTGATACTTCGACCCTATCACTTCCTAGGGACGTTTGAGTGACCCATCAAGCTAGGTTTGACGTTTAGGATTCGTTGCTAGCCTCGAGGTAAGGACTATTGCAACCAAAACTACTATTTTGCCCCTATTATGTATTAATTAGGGTCTGTGCTATGATTTGAGTTTCTTTCTTAAATTTTATGGGTAATTCGGTTATTATAATATAGATATGATGATGCATGATTTTCTGGGAATTTATGAACGTTTGAGTTTTGGTGAATTTATCAAATCAGTTTGCTATGGCTAAAATTGTGATTTTTGAATTAGTGGATGTGATATTGAGGAGATATTAGATCTATGGTATTTGAGAAATACAAATTAAGTACTTTTGGGGTTTTAAATATTTATAAATACCTTTGAGACTATTTAGAGAGGTTGAGAAATATTTTGAAGTATATCTTGATTCAGGATAAAAATAAACATTTTCATAAGAGGTGAGCACCCGGGAGAAATCCGTGGTGTCGGTTTCTGCATCCGGATAAATGCAGGGTTTTGGTTTTGAGCAACCGATAGTAACTCGTGGTGCCGGTTTCTGCATCTGGATAAATGCAAGGTTTTGGTTTTGAGCACCCGATAGTAACTCGTGGTGTCGGTTTCTACATCCGGATAAATGTAGGATTTTGGTTTGGAGCACCCGGTAGTAACCACGTGGTGTCGGTTTCTGCATCCGGATAAATGCAGGGTTTTGGTTTTGAGCACCCGGTGGTAATCCATGGTGTCGGTTTCTACATCCGGATAAATGTAGGATGGTGGGTCGGTAATCACCCCGACAATTTTTACGGTGGGTCGGTAATCACCCCGACAGTTTAGAGGTTTAATTGTATATTTTTGGGGAAGTGGTATTTTTGGAATGTTACATTTTGGAAAGAGGACTATGGAGATTATTTTCAAAGAGAAATTGAGTATATTTAGAACGAGTGATTAGATATACAGTTATTTTTGAAAAGTGATACCCTTATATGAAGGTGTGAGTTATTTAGAGTTTATAAAGATCATTTTAAACATGAAAGTAGTTTTGTGGGAAGAAAATGGATTTTCAAAGATATAGTATGTAAGAAAAACTATTTTCGCCAAACGTGATTATTTTACGGGGTTGGGTGGGCATTACTTAGCTAAAAAACTATTTTTTTTTCTTTTTCTTTGTTTTATTTTCTGCACTTTAATTGTGCAGGTGATGAAAGTTATGCATGATGATGAGAACTGCGTTAGATTACGTAGTTTAGTATTTATAATCACCTAGTTATTGTTCATTTCAGTTTGAGAACATGTAGACATTTAAATTATTCTATTGAAATTTTTTGTACTTAAATACTTGGTCTATTTTTGGATAGTGATTTGCAGCGTTTCACGTTTTATGTGAATGGCGGTTTAGACTCAAACGCCACTAGCAAAACACACTCAGAGAGAGGGATCTTGTTGTAATAATTTTGGTTGTATTCTCCCATAATGGACTGGCAGTATTAATAAGATAAAGGTGGGGTCCCCTTGGATAACAACCACATGACATATTTATTATCTAAAATAAAATTACTTATTACATTATATCTTAGGATTTTAGAAGTCTTCCCATTTAAATAATTAGGTGGATCCCACTCATCTTCCTTTATCTATCTGTCCTGACCAAATACGACGTAATGGGCGGTTACGAGCCGGAGAAATTACCCAACAAGACGGATATGGTTATATGCATAATTGTCCTTGATCCGCCTTGTTGCCATCTCTAGGTCTTTAAAGTAACAAGTTAAACTAAATTGAAGTTTGTCATATGTTACGGACAAGATGACAAACCACGCATATCTTAAATATTGTATACATAGAAATTTATATCATGCAGTATCTTTTTATTGACGATTCCATGAGCTTGCATGCACACCTATTTCATTGCATTATGTATTACTTTTGATTTGTACCACTTATTTTATTTCTCAAATTGCTATTGTAATATCATATTTAAAATTTTATTTAAAGATTTCAGTAATTGAATTATTATCAAATTATATATTTTATTTTCACATTATTGCATCTAAATTATTATGTAGGTTTCACTCCCGTGCAACGCATGGGTGGAGTAACTAGTGGTCATAATTTCATGATTTAAAATTAAATTTTTTTTATGTAACTGAAGGTAAAATGTATTAGTTTTAGGAGGACAATAAAATTTTATAAGGAACCGAAAAAGGTAAGAACCGAGCCAAATTTAACTAAAATTGAACCAAAATTAACAACTACATTTTAAGTAGAATCGAACCGAATTTTACGCCTATGATTTTTAGTACGATTCTATCAAATTTTAACAAAAATCAAACAGTTCTGGTACTATAGATAAAAGAAAATGGAAAAGCTAAAAATGAGCTTAAATGTTTTAAATTCAGTCAATTTTTTTTTAGAGTAGTCGTGTTTAGTAAAATAGGCTGGATCTGAAATAAGAGGGCTGATTAGGAACACTTTTCATCCCAACATTTCAATTCAATGGATTGTACAATTCACCTTCATTCCAAAATTATCCCTGGAACTGTTTCTTTTCTCCTGCGTCGGTCATCTTTTTCTCCCACGACAGTACAAACCAACCAAGAAGAAATAACACCTTCAGTGGCATCAATGGCATCAGATCTTCGAACTCGTCTGTTCTACCACCGCTTGACATTTTTTAAACATTGTGTTTAATTTGACAGATGCTGGAGTTTAATCTTTTATATATAATCCGTATATATGATACTCCGTATATGATATATATACACGCATATATAGATAAATATATATATACACACACTAAAATTTTGATAATAATTAAAATACTACAACTATTAAAATAAATTTTTTGTTCTACTTCGTACTAATTTACTGTATACCCTTTTATGTAATTTCATGTCATCCAGCTATTATTTCAGCTCTTTTTATCAAACGCGTTTAATTCATCCATAGTTCACTTATCACCCATTTTCTCCACAGCATCTTATGCTTCAAGCTTCAGCTGAGTTCTTCATTTACCCGGTACTCTTGAATGACAGATTAGGGGTTGAAGATCAGGCAAATATCTCTCGCTAGCAACAAAGTCTGATTACGTAAGAATAAATTTTCCTGAACTTCCATTTTCAGTTTTAAACGATGCTGGAAATATCTAATTTGAATTGCAATTCAAATCTGCCGAGTAAGGGTTGGAATAAATTAAAGATGATTTTGTATGAATTGATTCGCACAAGGCATATTATGTTGCAATCCACCTTCACTTGTGTTAATTTCTTCAAATTTGCACTTAGTTCTATGAACCTATCGAGCTAGTTTTAGCATTTGGTACCGTCACCTGAAGAGATTCTATTGATTGGGAAATTGTTATTCACTTATTTGACCTCATTAAAACGGGTAAAGAACAAAGAAGTAGTATGACTGTTCAAACCTGTTGTCTCTGCGTGGCTTCTAATGTGCAACACTTAACCTCTTGCCATTAAACTGCAATAGAGAAGGATGCCACACCTATATTGTGGCTGTTGTGGACGAAAAATTGACCCCATAGGCTATTTTAGTCACCTCAAACTTTAGATGGAAGTAATAAAAGTGAAAGAAATTCTGGCTTGATGTGGTAGTATACGTAATTTCTATACAGGGTTACTTATGTGCATTAATATATGAGATTTATTGGTGTTAAAAATTTGTTATATTCACATATACATGGTAAGTAAAATATTGTCTTATTCAAATGCATGATAAAGAAATCTGTAAAAATTAATGACATTGATTTTGTTAATTGGAATATTAACATTCCTACCATAGAATGAACTATAGTTTCACTTATAATTGGTCTCAATTATACTTTCACTTGATTGTGGCAGTAGAATGTGAAAATAGAGATTTTTCTTAATAATTGTTTTCTGTAAAAAAAAATCATTCGAGTAGCATGGGAATCTCTGAGGCAAACTATAACTCTATAAGTATTAACTGTAAGTGTTTGAAATGTACAAATAGAGGTTTTTGACTTGATTGTGCCAGTAGATTGTGAAAATAGAGGTTTTTCTCTATAATTGTTTTTCTCTTTTGGAATATGTGATCGTTCTAGTTTCACCTGAACAATAAGTATCAAGTATAGTTTCACTTGAAGCTATATAATATTTTTTTAAACAGGGATGCCTCATTCAAAAGAGGTCTGAACTATAATTCATCTTTAAACTAACGATAGAAAGTGACGTTCTATTTTAAAATTGGTTTGACACTTTAAGCTTTGTGGCAAGTCTTTATTTATGGCTGCACTTTTGGATCAGCCCATATCTATTCTCAAGTTGTTAAATGTGAAAGAAATTATGTGAAGAAAATTCAAGGAGGTTCGCTATAAAAAGGTACATTTCAGTTTTACTTTTACATGAAAGCATTTTATAACTTCTTGCAATTCATTGACATTTCATTGCAGATAGAAGTTAATGTCTCAATGCTGAAAAAAATGAAGTTAGGCTAACTGAAGAACTTGTCTATGAAAAGAGATACATTTGAATTTATATATATAATACATTATGAACTGTAGCTTATGCTTTAAACAAGCCTGAACTAAATACATTTCACTTTATTATAATACTGAGTTCACTTTAGATGTGAACCATTAAATTAAAAATTGCTGATAGAACTTACCTAGAATTAAAAAATAGGTAAAGATGTGAAAATTGAAACTATTGAAACTTCATTTAAAAACTGGCTGAATCTGGTAAAAATACTCCGTATAAAATTGAAACAGGTCTTTTTTTTTTCAAAAGAGGCCCTGAAACCTAGTGTATTTTGTAGCGAAAACAATAGTGTTTTGTGTGTGTATTGTTTTGAAAGTGAGCTGTAGTTTTAAGAAATGTAGATTTCCTTGAAAGCAATTCATTGACACTTCATAGCAGGTATAAGTCAATGTCTCAAAGCTGGAAGAAATCAAGTCAAGCTGACTGAAGAACTTGACTTTTAAAACAGGTCTGTTTCAATTTCCTTTGCTACTTCAAAGTATCTGACTGAAGTATATAGAATACACAAATGAGATAAAAGATTTCTATTTTGTCTGGTAACAAATGAGATAAAAGATTTGTTACCAAACATACCATCAACTTTAGTTTCAGTTTTAAAAAAGGCCTGAACTTTATTGCATTGACTTGAGCAAAATACTTCTTATCAATTAACTTAATGCATATTCCATATAAGTACTATTTTTACTAAAGGTGTAAAGCATTAAATTAATTGACACATACATTTCCTTGAAAGCATGCCAAAAGCTGGTCATTTAATTTCACAAAGAATTCCTTGAAAGCAATTCATTGGCACTTCGTTGCAGGTAGAAGTCAGTGTCTCAAAGCTAGAACAAATCAAGTCAAGCTGACTGAAGAACTTGGCTTTTAAAACAGGTCTGTTTCAATTTCCTTTGCTACCTGGAAGTATCCGACTGAAGTATATGGAATACACAAATGAGATAAAAGATTTGTATTTTGCTGGTAAAAAATGAGATCAAAGATTTGTTACCAAACATAGCATCAACTTTAGTTTCAGTTTTTAAAAAGGCTTGAACTTTATTACATTGACGTTATTACATGTAGAAATTGTCACACGAATTTCCTTGAATACATGTCACGGTGAGCTGTAGTTGGAAAAACTATTTTTCTCAAAATTGGTAAGTAATATGAAAAAGGAGTAGTGATAACACAATTTAGATAAATTAGCCTAAAAATTGCCAAACATTGACACATAATAAAATATCAATTTTATCAAATAATAGAAACATACCGTCTAAACATACTAAAATAATAATATAGAAATAGTCCAACCATACTTGTCCGTGTAATGAAATAGTTTAAAAAGGGATCATGGATAATAATTTCTGCCAATTGGCAATTTCTGCATGTAAATTGCCAAACAATCTAAAAAGAAGCATGCATAAGCGCATAACATAACTTAGAAAATTCACCAAGTCTTTTAAAATTGAGCAGTAAATAAAGTTCATCACAAAGCCAATTGAACAAAACACGATCTATTCAATGCGTTCCCTTTTTACTTCAACAACCCTTCGCACTTTTGTGCTTGAAGCCGGGCTCTCACTACATTCCACAGTCTCAACGGACCTCTTCCCGGTTTATGTGCTGGTTGGAGTAACAGCCTCAACATTCACCCTTGAGGAAATCTCATATCAAAGAATTTAAGATGTTTAGCAAGACAAATAAGTTGGAATAACACAAAGAAAGACAATACTTAAAGTGTTGAGATAAATTTAATAATTAAATTCGAATTTGTTTAATTACACATTTACACAAATTATTCAATTATGAAGCTAAATATTGAAACACACTGAAATTATCTTCTGATTTAGAGAAATCTTTTAAAGAAAAATTAGAAAAATTATTTGATCATTAGGTTGATATAAATCCAAAATTATTCTATTATTGAATTAAATAATTAAATAATTATTTCATTACGAATATCTTCTAAATTTAACTTGACATACGGAGCATCAAATTATTATCAAATTGCATTTATGTTAAGATTCAATTCCAATTAATTTTTTCATGGGTGACTCTTTAAAGCTGAAATACTGTCTACTCAATATCTCTTAAGAAAATACATGGGCGGGAAATCTAACTCTATGGCAAATTAATTTCCAATTTCGCCCCTCATTAGGTAGCATTTTGGGCAGGGAAAGTGATTGCCGCTCTACTTTATACTACGTATATAATAAAGACATCCAGATTTTGAAAATATGAATACAGATTAAAGATGTGATTATATTAACCTTGGTATATCACGTCGATGAGTAGAATGTACACAGTATTTTACAAAATGTTAAATTGCTTTTTTCTTTTTAGTATTAGTATTTTATTTTGTATTATATGTTAGGGCCTTTTATTTTATTTTTGAACAGTGCCTCCTATTTATCAGTGCCGGTCCTGATCCCAATCCTCAAAATTGAACGCCGCAGAATTATTTCAAGGCCCTCCCTAACACACGCAAAGAAGAGGACTGTGAAGAAACACTTGCCAGCAATGGCAGCAATTTTAACACCATTTCCGTCGTATTCCGTCTCCCCAAGACTTTCGGTTCCTGCTCAACAATCTTTCCCTGCAAGTCATCTCATTCGAAGCTCCACAGTTTCCAAGAAACACATCTCCTTCAGAGTTCAAGCTGCAAAGCTTCCTGCCGGGGTATCTCTCTCACATTTCTCCTCTTTTCCCCCAAACATTGAATTCATGATGCAAAAGGATGTCTGATATGCACACAATTCTTCAGGTGGAATACCCAAAGAAACAGCCAAAACTTCAGCCCCCATTTCTGGGTTTTACAAGAACTGCTGAAATTTACAACTCCAGAGCTTGTATGATTGGCCTGATTGGAACTTTCGTTTTAGAACTGGTCAGTTACTGATTCTTTATGCAAATTTTGAATCTGAGAAAGTTGTAGATAGGGGAAACAAAATGCCAAGAAAAATTATTTTCTTATATTTGTTTTTACCTTGAAAACAGCGAGGTAATTTGAAATAATACGTAGTATTAATTAATCTCTTAAATTGAAATATTTTCCTCATATTTATATAACGCAACAAAACATGTCGAGGAAAGTAAAACATTGATTCAAATAAGTTATTAGCTTATAATATCCCCAATTATGGTTAATTTAACAAATCTATCATATTCTTTATTTTTAATGAAAAAGACTCAAAGTTCATCATTTTCAGAAATATACTTTCTTTGAATTGATTACTACTCATAATATTGAAGGATCAATTCCCATATTTATTCCATATTTTTTACTCGGAACTATTCTTTCTTGTATAATTAATTTTATAAATGCCGTTTGCGGGTGAGAAACTAGATATATTACAATTAATTTGCAAAAGCATCCGGGGTTCAATTAAAGGATAAAGGATCACACACAACGGAAAAAAGAACTCAAGTAAACTCCCAAAGATCAATGTAAATTTTGGTCATTGGTTTTAACACTTCTGTTGCATTGTCTTTTATTTCAGATATTGAATAAGGGAATACTACAGGCTATTGGGGTGGATGTCGGGAAAGGCCTTGATCTTCCCTTATGAAAACGTATTGGTGTGTTTTCCATTCGAGCTCCATTGTAAAAGCACACTGTTTTTTTATTGGTTCCCTTCAAAAATATGTAAATCTGAAATCACTACTATTACTAAATATTTCTTCTTTAATTTCCTTCCATTTCATTTGAAGCTATTAAATATCTTGACATAGTCTGATAGTCACATAGCCACATACACATAGGTTCACACTAGAAACGAGAGAGTTGAAGAGCTAAGGGAGCGCACAAACTGTGCAGGAGATGATGCACAAACTGTGAAGGGAGCAGGAAAGGAGACCATATGATCTTGCATATCCTGATTTCTAAAACAGTTACTTTAGAAGAAGAGTTAGATGATGGTAGTTCGAGTGCCTGAGCTAAGGATAGTGTGGGGTTGCTCTAAGCAGATTCAGCCCAAAGCTTCGAGAAATTTTCTCGCATGACAGTTACGGGAAACCTTTCTCGATAAGCTTATCCCAGAAACTTCCAAGAAAACGTGCGAAAACGTTATTCACCATTTCTCGAACAGGAGAAGGCTCAAAAATGACACTAGGGTTATTTATGAAGTTTAGATTAGACACTAAACTTTTAAGTAGACGAAATTAACATATAATCAACTAATTTGAACTATATTTGGCCACTCATTTATATCTCCGTTTAACCTGTTGTTAACAGCTCAGGCCTCCAGTTGAGTTAATTTGGGCTTAATTAGGGTTTAATTAATATGGGCTTGATTAGGGTTTCTTGTAGAATGCTATTTATACCCCTCACTAGGGTTCATTCTTATTATCTTGGAATAAAGTTAGAGTTTAGCCTTTTGGCTTTGGGCAACGGTATTTTTATCGTTGATTATTTGGCAACGGTTCACCCCGTTGATTTCTATTTTTCTGTTACAAATCAATTGGTCCGACCTACCGGATCCTGTCCCGTCGGAATGACGAGATCAACCAACGAACGTTTATCAGAATTGGAGGCTGAACAGGCCCTAATCAATCAAAAACTTGACACGCAAGGACAGAAACTTGATCTGCAGGGACAGAAACTTGACACACAAGGTCAGAAACTGGAAAAGTAGGCCGCCCAGCTTGCGGAAATCGCAGCCTCTCTTGCAGCAATCGCGAAGGCCATGGTGCCGCCGCAGAAATCTCCCATCGCGACCATCGAGAGCGATTCCTCCGACCACGTCGCATCTGTCTTCTCCGATGATGGCGGATTGCGCACCGCAGCCACAACGCTACTTTCCTCGTTCGATGGCGAAGACCCAATTGGGTGGTTGGCGAGAGTGGAGCAGCAGTTCGAGCTCAACAGGACCCCACCAGACAGACAAGTTGCAGCGGCTAGGGTTTCTATGGAAAGGGCTGCCCTCTATTGGGTGACGTGGTTAAATGCGCGCAAATCTGGCATATCTTGGGAGGAATTTAAGCAAGCCTTGGTGGCCAGATTTGATTCCCGATATCAGGGAAACAGGTTTGAACGGCTGTCCGGCATCAAACAAATTGGGTCGATGGAGGAATACAATACCTTGTTCGTTCAATTGGCTAGCCAAGTTCCGGGATTGACCGACGATCATTATTTGGGCTACTACATGAGTGGACTTGGGGAAGCAATCCGAAGTTCGCTGCGCTTATTACGGCCAGAAAACCTGGAGACAACCATGGAATTAGCTCGCGATGTGGAGCATAATCTGTCCGTCCAAAGTGGAGGAAGTGGCAGCCCGAATTATAATTCTGCAGGGGTACGTTCCAGCAGCTTTTTAATGGCAAACACGGGTCCTCCTTTGACTGCCAGTGGTGGCAGCTTGCAGGGATCAAGGGGCAGCTTTGCGAAGGATAGTGGACAGCCTCCGGGGACGAAGTCAGGGCTGTCCGGGCAGCCTACGACACGCTCTCAGTTCACTCGTCTTCCGCCAAAGGAGTTCGCAGAATTGAGGGCGAAAGGATTATGCTTTAAGTGTAAGAAACCATTTACATCGGGGCACGACTGTCCCTTTAAGCAGCTGCGGGTAATGATAGCCGAGGAGGAGGAAGAGTAAGACCTCCAACAGCATGAGTACTGTGAAATCACCGGCCAGAAAAGAGTTCAGGAAAGAGAGAAAGGATATTTTCCAGTCTATTCTATGTCTGGGAATTTCAGCTCCCCATCTGTCAGCTTTCAAACTTGAGGACAAGGTTATTTTGAAGGAGGATGGATTGATAGAGAGCGGGAAGAGCATGGGGCGGGACCGGGCTTGGGCCCACTTCCGTGGGCCGAGTTAGGGCTGTCGTTATAGTTTAATTATTATTATTAAGTTAATGTTATGTTTTAGTTTGGGGCTATTATTAGTAGAGTAGTTAGTTGAGTTAATTTGGGCTTAATTAGGGTTTAATTAATATGGGCTTGATTAGGGTTTCTTGTAGAAGGCTATTTATACCCCTCGCCAGGGTTCATTCTTATTATCTTGGAATAAAGTTAGAGTTTAGCCTTTTGGCTTTGGGCAACAGTATTTTTATCGTTGATTATCTGGGCAACGGTTCACCCCGTTGATTTCTATTTTTCTGTTACATATCACCTCTGTTGTCAATTATGTTTCTTTACTGGCTTGGCCATTCCATCCCCGCCCTGGCCTCGAAGTAGTCCCTCACCCTTCTCCTTCCACCTTGTTCTCACCCTTCTCCGCCCACAACTCGTCTCACCCTTCTCCGCCCATCGATCCTTTCATGGAAAAACCATCACTTGCGGAGATCAAGATTGCAACTGAAAAAATCACTGCTCACGGAAAAATCACAGCTCGTCAGCATCCAATACATGGAAGAAGCTATTAGTGCTATCCAAAATCATTCCCAGGCTTCAATTCACTCCACTGGAATGTCCACGCTTTTTTGTTCTTATCAAATACCCAGATTCGATGATATACGACTGTCATATCGCCTAGGTAAAGTCCTCCGAAATCAAGGAGAACCATAGATTGACCATCTGTTCACATATTGTTGTTTTAGAACAGTTCGGGCTGAGAAAAGTTACCTGACAAAGGACGAACTCCACAATCTAGGCTGACCAAATGGAATTAATGCACAAACGAGGAGTGTGGACAGTCCAATTCCTCCCTTGCCTTTTTTTTGGCGCCCAAAAAAAGAACTCCAACAGGTGTGGCAAATGTCGGGTAACATTTGCCATATTTATTAAAGTGATGAGATTACAATGATTTAAAAGAGCAAAATATAGAAAGAAATTAAAAAAGTAACTAGGTGAAAATTTCTGCTGGGCCCTTTAATCGGCCCGGGTAACGTTAATGCGGCAGATCCAAATCGAGGAGAATATATGCTACGGCCGAACATAATGCTCCAAAGTTTGGTGTCGGTTTGAGAAGTCTAGGGTTCGAGGACCTTCGATACAGCGATGGGAGCGTGAAGCGGCTAGGGTAGAATCGCGAGAGCAGCGCTTAGGTGATACCGAAGCGGTGGAGGTGCTGAGGACTGAGGGTTAGCCGATATCTCTAAAGAAGGTAACTCCATGTTTATCTTCAAAATATCCTCCCTTGCCACTGCTTGCATTGTTATTTTCGATTGCAGTCCAAGCTAAGTGATGAGTCTTGCAGGTCAAAACTTTAGAATTGGCCATTTACTGATTCTTTATGCGATGTTTGGATCAGGGAAAGTTGTAGATAGTCCTGGACTCGATTCGAGCCACCCGGCCCGGGACCTGGCCCGACCCGCTACTGTACGGGACCGGCCCGACCTGCTACTGTGCAGGCCCGGCCCGGCCCGATTCTTCGGGCCCAAAACTGGTTTAAGGCCCGATTATTTAGGCTGAGCGGGGCGGGCTCAGGTTGGTAAAAAGGAGGCCTGGTTTGAGCCAAATTATTTTTTTTTTTGTTTTTTGGGCTCCACCTGGGTTGGACTTGATGTTTAGGAGGGGTTTGGGAGGGGGTGGGAGGGGTGGGGGTCAGGGATAGGTAGGTAAGCAAAAAAAAGGAAAATTGAAATATTTTCTTATTTTCCTGATTTGGGGGGGGGGGGGGGTGAGGGGGCCCAGGGATAGGTAGGTCAAAACTTTAGAATTGGTCATTTACTGATTCTTTATTCGATGTTTGGATCAGGGAGAAAGGGAAACAAAATGCCAAGGAAAATTATTTTCTTATATTTGTTTTTACATTCAAAACTGCGAGGTAAATTGAAATAATATGCAGTATTAATCTCTTAAAGTCGAGGTAAATTGAAATATTTTACTCATATTTGTATAATGCAACAAAAATGTCGAGGGAAATAAAACATTGATTCAAATCAATTATTAGCTTATAATATCCCCAATTATGATTAATTTAACAAACCTGTCATATTCTTTATTTTTAATGAAAAATGACTCAAAGCTCATCATCTTGAGAAATATACTTTCTATGAATTGATTACTACTAATAATGTTTAAGGATTAACTCTCATATTTTTTACTTCGAACTATTTCTTTCTTGTATAATTAGTTTTACAAATACTTTTTACAGGTGGGAAACTAGAAATATTACATATAATTTGCAAAAGCATCCAGGGTTCAATTAAAGGTCAGTGTAAATTTTGGTCTTTGGTTTTAAGACTTCTATTGCATTATCTTTTATTTCAGATATTGAATAGGGGAATACTTTATAGAAAATGGAGTTCGCCTGACATGATTCTCAATATATGAACTAAATATATGATCAGGCAATCATAATAATGATACAATTATATAGATACAAATATTAACTTAGATAAATACGTGGTGTCCTTTTCCGGATTAATGCTAACTAAATAAATAATTCCCAAAATACTGCAGGATTAAAAGATCCGGCGCAAGCAGCTTCACTGATCATGCAATGCATTCGTTGCTATATTAAAAAAGATTATGTGATTGTTTTTTTCACGGTACATTATGCAATTGCTCAGATAATATATATTATGACTAGTATTTGATTTTTTGAAGCTTTAATTTGTAGAATGGATCGAGAAAAGTGCTTCTACATAGCTTGAGGGAATTGGGATGTTTTTACTTGGACTGTAATTTGCTGGTCTGGTCTGATCTGGTCTGATCTGAACTGGTCTGGTCTGGTCTGGTTTCTTTGTATTTTTATAACTATAGAAGTCTGGTCTGAACTGATCTGGTCCGGTCTGATCTGGTTTGGTCTGGGACGAATTACGGTCCAAGTAAAAACATCCTTATCCTTATTTTAGCGAATTGACAACGGCAACCGTGAAAGAAATTTTGGCCACCAACATCAAACAGAAGTCTAGTGGTGGTCCGATAATTTGGGGAAGCAATGTAGGTATCTTCCACCTTCTTTCTTGGAAGTTACCAAGAGACACCTTAACATGGAGGCACCTTCTTGGAAAGAGCTCTCCAACAAATAGGTATAGGAGAAGATATGGAGATAACTAGGAAGCTTGGATGCAACTTCCTCATGTCTCCAAACCAGCCCTATAAATAGAGTGCTCCATTGTTGTTCATAGTATCAGTTTAGAAAGTGAGAAAAGTGTGTGAAGAGTGAAATACACTTAGTGTAGAAGTGTATTGGTGAGGATTGATTTTTTGTAATAGTTGAGTGTGAGAGTTTGCTCCTCCTATTGTAATTCTTTTCTTGATATTGAATAGAAGAATTTTCCAATCCCAACAAGTGGTATCAGAGCGAGGTTGAGTTTCCATACACTGTTTTCTCATTTTCAGATAAATTTCTACAGATTAGAAAATCGTGATTTTTCAAGTTGCTCGGAATCAGGATCTGATCATACCGTTAGATTCGTCTCGGCGAGACGAGAAATCTGGTATTTTTGGGGATTTTTTTGGCCACCGGAAGAGGCCGTACGCGCCGCCGGAAAACTGCCTGCATCATCACTGCGTCATCACGCAGTCCAGAGGAAGAAGACGATCCACGTCAGCTGCCACGTCATCGCCACGTTGGACCACGTCAGCGACATGTGGTGCCGAGTCATCCGCCACGCCATCCACCCGAGCCGTCCGCTGTGAGCCACATTCAGACGCCACGTGGCTACACGTCATCGCCACGTCAGCGAGGGAGCAGAGCCACGTCATTCGCCTGCTGGGCTGCAGGCTGGGCTGCTGCCTGAACCGGACCGAACCGGTTCGTGCTTTTGGAGGCCGGTTCACCCGTTTCCAGACCAGTTTTGGACGAGGTAAGACCGGTTCTTACCATTTTCGGCCATTCCGGATCCAACGGTGAGCTCCGTTTGTCCAAATTCGGCTTCGAAAATAAGGTACGAGATATATAAAGCGTTTTATTATGGATAAATCATCGTCGGACACCATGATTGCGCTCACATCCACAAACTACAATATGTGGAAGCCTCGGATGGAGGATTTGCTAAATTTGAGGGATTTAGCGGATCCTCTTGATAATAATGGTGTGAAACCGGATAAAAAGACGGATGAAGAATGGACAAAAATGAATCGAAAAACCGTCGCACAAATTCGACAATGGATAGATCATAGTGTGTTCCACCATGTTGCTCAAGAACAAAGTGCTTACACACTATGGGAGAAGCTTGGTAGCATGTATCAAGCAAAAACCGTCCGAAATAAGACGTTACTAATGAGGAGATTAGTAAACCACAAATTATGTGGGGGTATTTCGGTGTCAGAACACACCAGTCAATTCCAGGATCTTGTGAATCAGTTGAGCACCACCGGATGGGTTCTCAAAGATGAAGAGCAGGCGATACTACTCTTGAGCTCTCTACCTGACAGCTGGGAGACTCTTGTTGTCACTCTCAGTAATTCTGCTCCAAATGGGAAGGTGACTATGCAGATGGTCACAGATGCCCTGATGAATGAAGAAGCCCGAAGGAAGGAAGCCGGGACGGAACAATCATATGTCCTCATATCAGAAACTAACAGACGAGGGGGAGGCAGAAATGGAGGAAGAAGTCGAGGTCGAGGTAGAGGTCAAGGTCAAAGTAGAGGAAATTCTCAAATTCGCGGAAGATCACAAAAGAGAGGTATGTCCTTTGAAAACAATACTTGGTTCGAAGGATATTGCAATTACTGTAGTAATTATGGACATAGGAAAAGAGATTGTAGAAAGTTTCTACGAGAGAAGCCACAGACGAGTCAAAATACTAGCCAAGAAGATGGTGAGACCATGGTTAGTTTGTCATCAGACGTGTATCTTGTTACAAATGGTGAACAAGAATGTTTACACGTAGGCACTCATGATGTTGAGTGGGTGATTGATACAGCCGCATCATTTCACGCCACTCCACACCAGAACTTATTCACAACTTATAAGTCCGGAGACTTTGGAGTTGTGAAGATGGGAAACACCCGTTTCTCGAAGATTGTTGGCATTGGTGATGTGCACATAATAACCAATGTCGGATGCGCACTTGTGTTGAAAGATGTTCGACACGTTACGGATCTTAGATTGAATCTTATCTCCGGTACAGATCTGGATCAACAAGGATATCTTAACCGATTCAAAGAAGGTACGTGGAAGCTATCTAAAGGTTCCTTGGTTGTTGCAAGAGGCCATATTTGTGGCACTCTTTATAAAACTCATGCAAAGTTGTGTCATCCGAGTCTCAATGCTGTTGAAGAAGAGACATCACCAAACTTGTGGCACCGGAGGTTAGGTCACTTGAGCGTGAAGGGATTGACAACTCTTGCAAAGAAGGAAGTCATTTCCATGGGCAAAGGTGTTGCCCTAGATTCATGCGAGCACTGTCTATTTGGGAAACAACACAAGGTTTCCTTCAGTTCTACCAAGAAGAACCATACAGAGTTACTCAGTCTTGTCCACTCTGATGCATGTGGACCCATTGAAGAGGAGTCACTTGGAGGAAGCAGATACTTCGTGACATTCATTGATGATGCATCACGAAAGGTATGGCCCTACTGTTTAAATCATAAGGATCAAGTGTTTGATCGATTCAAATCATTTCATGCCATGGTAGAAAGAGAAACAGGGAAGAAGTTGAAGTGTCTGCGTTCAGACAATGGAGGAGAGTACACTTCCCGAGAATTCTCAGCATATTGTGCCGCATATGGAATCAGACATGAGAAGACGGTTCCACGAACTCCGCAACACAATGGTGTAGCCGAAAGAATGAATCGGACCATTATGGAGAAAGTTCGTTGCATGTTGAGTCTGGCTAAGCTACCTAAGCCATTTTGGGGTGAAGCTGTGCTGACAGCTTGTTATCTTATAAACAGGTCACCTTCTGTTCCTCTAAACTTTGAAGTGCCAAAGAAGAAATGGTCAGGAAGAGATGTTTCTTACTCTCACTTGAAAGTGTTCGGGTGCAAGGCATTTGCACATGTGTCCAAGGAGTTGAGACAGAAGCTTGATCTCAAGTCAAACCCATATATCTTCATCGGCTATGGAGATGAAGAATTCAGATACCGGTTGTGGGATCCCGAAGTGAAGAAAGTTATTCGAAGCAGAGATGTTGTATTTCATGAAAACGAGTTTCATGGGTGTGCTCCAATAATCCGCCAACAACATACTCCAGAAGACGAAGTGCCTGTATCATCAAACATTCCTCTCAGCGACGAGGAGATGCATGATTCTACTGAACATGAGAGTGATGGTTCAGCAGGTGATGATGATACTCACAGTGATGATATTCCTCAGCAGGGGGAGCCTTCATCTGAAGACGAATATGAAGGTATTCATGTTCGACGTTCTATGCGAGGCATAGTTCCACAAAGAAAATACTCCACATCCGAATGGATACTTGTTGCCAGCGAGGGGGAGCCAGCGAGCACCGCATGAACGAGAGAAATAAAGAAAAAGGTGGAAGGGAGATTTGTAGGTATCTTCCACCTTCTTTCTTGGAAGTTGGCAAGAGACACCTTAACATGGAGGCACCTTCTTGGAAAGAGCTCTCCAACAAATAGGTATAGGAGAAGATATGGAGATAACTAGGAAGCTTGGATGCAACTTCCTCATGTCTCCAAACCAGCCCTATAAATAGAGTGCTCCATTGTTGTTCATAGTATCAGTTTAAAAAGTGAGAAAAGTGTGTGAAGAGTGAAATACACTTAGTGTAGAAGTGTATTGGTGATGATTGGTTTTTTGTAATAGTTTAGTGTGAGAGTTTGCTCCTCCTATTGTAATTCTGTTCTTGATATTGAATAGAAGAATTTTCCAATCCCAACAAGCAAGGCTCCAATCCCATGAGCATAATTGTTTACAATCTCATATTCTCATTTTCTCATATATTTCGAGAAAATGACATTATTTTGGTCTACAAATTTCTCTTCGCTCATATGGCGCCAAAACCTGTTACCGTCGTCTCTTTCGCGCGCACATCGCTCGCCCAGACTTGCCGGCGGGAACAAAGCTGCAGATCCGGTGAATGTCAATGTCGAGGTGCGGGTCTCTACTCCTCAGAAGCGCATCTTCGATTCAGAATCTTATACTCCGTATATGTTAATCTCCCCAGTTGGTGGATATGTCTCCACCAAAGTGGAAGCCAGCCCAATCGCACAGGCTCAAATTTTTGGAGGGCCCAAAAAACAGTAGTAGAGCTATCTGTCAGCCCAAGTCCGTAGCTTTGAAGGAAATACGGAGCACAGAAAGAAGCCGCCAGGGAACTTGCGGAAGACTGGAAGAGAAAGCGCCGCTCGAATCTGGAAGTAGGAAGAGTGAACGACTGACCGACGACCGCCGCCACCCAGCGCCAGCCCGCTACTGCGCCCTGCCTCCAGCCTCCACGACCACGACCACGACCACACCGTCTACGTGACGCCCTACCCCGCTGCCCGCAGACCGCACTCCGCACTACCACAGACCCACAGTCCGGTGAGTCCGCACTCTGCAGTAACCGGACACCGGTAATGGCTGTAAGCAACTAAGCACATATGATCGATGATTGCCAGATTTCTTTAATTTCAAATTAGTGAAATTACTGAAATTAGTTTGTTACCTACTTGCCTTGTTGTTATCTGTTTATTTATTGTCTACTGAAATTAAGTAATTGAATTGATAAATGATAATAAGTGTGTTTAACGATTAAGGTTTAATAAGTTTGTAGAAGTATGTTATTAAGTAATTACTATCTTTAGGTTTATAAATTATAACTATATTTTCTAAATAGGGTGATATCGAAGGACCTTTGGGGTTGGACAAGAATACAGGGAAACCAAAAGGGATTTGTTTGTTTGTTTCTACTATCTTTAGCTTTATAAATTATAATTATATTATTATAGTCTTTTATGATTTCACCAAAAATTTAAACTGAATTTTAATTTAGAATTCTTAAATATTTTAAACATGTACATGATTAGGGTGTACACGATAAAAATAATGTAATTTTTTTAAAACATGTACATAATTTTTAAATCTGGAGCTTAGAAAATTTTTAAACTGAATTTTCATAGTAACCGGTACTTCAACACTGTTGGAATGTGAAGAAAAGGCCCAAAAAATTTTGTCGTACCGGGTCCCCATTTTCTCAGTACAGGCCCCAGCGAGTCCCTGGTAGCCCAAGCAGTCCCGCAATGATAATAGTCATTTACTTTATTTGATTGAGACGTCGTCTCTCCTTGATTTGAGACCTCTATACGATTCTAATTGACTGGTTTTGCTCTTGATTATAGGGGATCAGGGACGATTGTAGTGATAAAACAATCTAATACAGTAATTCTATATTAACAAGAATTAAATTGGAAAATCAAATGAAGAAATCAAATGAAATGAGAATTAATGTGAAAACAACAATTCTCTACCCAAGTCCAGAACTGGTTTCTTGAGCAACAAGATGTACAGGGAGAGCGGAAGATATTATTGATAGAATTGAATGAGCAAAAGTGTACAGATTACAATGACCAGCTTCCTTTTATATCTAATAGAGCTGCTAAGAGCTATTAACCGACTTTAGTAAAGTAGTTATACACGTGTGAATTCAGTTAATAACTATTTGCTATATCAAATCTCCCCTGGTGGAAGAACCTTGACCTCAAGGTTCAAAATCAGGAAACTTCTTCTTCAATTCATATAAGAATTCCCATGTTGCTTCTTCCACCGGTTGATTGCTCCATTGCACCAGAACTTTAGTAGCAGCTTTATTCTGTCTATTCACCAGTTTCCTTTCCAAAATGGCTATTGGCTTCTTCTCAAATAAATCAGGCATGACAGAAGGTAAAACTGAAGAACTCAATGCATTGCCCACATGTTTCTTTAACTGGGAGATAGTTTTTGGTGATTTCGAGATACTGTACTTTGTTGCCTATAAGGTTGCAGTTTGACATAAACCAAATCTCCAATGTCAAATGCCCTTTCACTCCTATGCAAATTAGCATAATGTTCCATCCTTTGTTGTGCTCTGGCCAAGTGAAATTTTAGAATTTGAATCATATCTTCTCTGGCTTGGAGGCTTCTTGCAACCATGTCAACCTTAGCTTCTCCTGGTAAGTAAGGTAAATGCATAGGTGGAGCTTGGCCATATACTACTTCATAGGGAGTGAGCTGAGTGGAGGTGTGATATGTGGTATTGTACCACCATTCTGCCAGTGGAAGCCATCTACTCCATTGATGAGGCTGATCACTGCACATGCACCTTAAATAGGTTTCTAAGCACCTATTAACAACTTCAGACTGACTATCCGTTTGAGGGTGATAAGCTGTTGAAATATTTAAGGAAACTCCTTGTAATGTGAAAAGTTCTTTCCAGAAATCACTCATAAACACAGCATCTCTATCACTTGTAATTGATTGTGGAAACCCATGTAGCTTAAAAACATGATCTAAGAAACATTGAGCTACTGTTGCAGCAGAATAAGGGTGTGAAAGAGACATAAAATGGGCAGCCTTGCTCAATCTGTCCACTACCACAAAAATAACAGCTTTTCCATAAGAGGGAGGTAATCCTTCAATGAAATCCATGGTTATTTCACTCCATACACTCTCAGGAATAGGTAATGGCTGTAAGAGTCCTGGTGAAGCTGATCTGTCATATTTGTTTTGCTGGCAAATATTACAGCTTTTAATAAATTGCTGAATATCAGTAGCCATTCCCTTCCAGTAAAATAGTGCCTTAACTCTTTGGATTGTAGCATCCCTTCCTGAATGACCACTGGTACCTGCACAATGAAGCCACTTCAGTATTTCATCTTTCAATGCTACCTCATTACCTATAACCAGCTTCCCTTTCCTCCTAAGCTGATTATGTAGCCAAATGTAGTACTTCTTCCCTGCAGGATTTGTTTTAAGTACTTCAATGATTTGTTGAAGTTGAGGATCAGTGTGGTAGCATTGTTGAATAGATTGTAACAAATCTGATCCCACCACTGTTAAGGCCATACTCAAAATATCTGCACTCTTTATCCTGGATAGTGCATCAGCTGCCAGATTTTCTTTGCCCTGTTTATACTGAATATCATAATGAAATTCCAACAGTTTAGGAAGCCATTGTTGTTGTATAGGGGTATTCGGTCTTTGCTCTAGTAGATACTTAAGACTCTTCTGGTCAGTCTTAATAACAAAATGAGTATAGAGTAGATAATGTCTCCATTGTTGCACAGCAAAAACAACAGCCAGAAGTTCTTTTTCATATAAGGAAAAATGTAGTTGTCTACCCTTCAAATGTTTGCTGATGTAAGCCAGTGGATGATTCTCTTGCATTAAAACAGCACCAATACCATATCCACAAGCATCTGTCTCAACCACAAACTGCTTTTCAAAATTGGGTAGTGCTAATACAGGTGCTTGACATAATGCAATTTTCAGGTTCTGGAAAGCCAAAGTAGCTTCTTCAGACCATTTAAAACTGTCTTTCTTAAGAAGAGAAGATAATGGTCTAGCAATCACACCATAATTCTTTACAAACCTTCTGTAATATCCTGATAAACCCAAAAACCCCCTGAGTTGTTTCACTGTTTTGGGAACAGGCCAGTTATATACAGCTTCAACCTTCTTTGGATCAGTAGATATACCTTTATCAGAAATGTAGTGTCCCAAATACTCCACTCTATTAACAGCAAAAGCACATTTGCTCCTCTTAGCAAACAGTTTGTTAGTTCTCATAACTTCAAATACTGATCTTAGATGAATTATATGATCCTCCACAGAAGCACTGTAAACCAGAATATCATCAAAGAAGATTAACACAAATTTCCTCAGAAAAGCTCTAAAGACGGAATTTATTAGATATTGAAATGTTCCGGGTGCATTAGTTAGACCAAAAGGCATTACAACAAACTCATAATGTCCATTGTGTGTTTTGAAAGCTGTTTTGTGTATATCATCTTTGCTCATTCTTACTTGATGATATCCAGATCTGAGATCTATCTTTGAAAATATTTTGGATCCTCCCAGTTCATCCATTAGATCTTCAATAAGAGGTATAGGAAATCTGTCTTTGATAGTATTGGCATTTAGCTTCCTGTAATCAACACATAGTCTCCAGGAATCATCTTTCTTCTTAACTAACACTACAGGAGAAGAATATGAGCTGGAACTTGGTTGAATAATGCCTGAATCCAACATTTCATCCACTATTTTGTCAATCTCATTTTTTTGACAAATAGCATATCTGTAAGGTCTTTGGTTGACAGGGTTAGCACCTTGTATTAAAGGAATCTTATGATCATGTCCTTCTCTGAATGGTGGTAGCTCTTTAGGTTCTTGAAAAATGTCTTCAAATTCAGTCAGCAACTGAGAAATATCATCTGGAATTTCACTGTCAACTTCCATGGTTGTTAGAAAACAATCTGTGACTTTCGTTGTATATTCTCCATACTTGTCACGGCGGTAAGTCGAGTCGCGGCGCCAGCTGACCGCAATGTCGCCTAGGCGACAAGGCGCCCGCCTAGGCGACAATTAGGCGACTAGTCGCCTATATGCGTATATTATATTATATATTATATATATAATTATATATTTACATATATAATTATATATTTAATTATTTATTGTATAATATATTACTGACTAAAATGTATATAATTTAGAATTGAAACCCCAATTAATGGTTTAAGAATATTATTAAACTAATATACGAGCATATCAGTATATCACCACTTCACCAGTAGATTAAATTAATGGTTTAATCACTTAATGTCTATATCATTATCACCATGTTCACATCATTTAATAAATTAATTGTTTTATACTTACAGTATCTATGTGGAAAGTTCCATTCTTTGTAAGCTTGCTCTTATCCATTAATATAATAAATTAATTTAAATACATTGATTGATACTTCATCATTCGCAAAAATATAAAGGGTTCAAGAAAAGTAACTGTACGCATATATTGATAATCTGATATACATATATATAGTTATATACCACCTAGTTAATAAAATTATTAAAAAATAAGTCCACTACACCGACCTAGAGAGTAGAAAATAAAAAATAAGACTAGATAAGAAATCGGTGGACTCAACTAGACTTCAAGCTTCAACGACGGACTGGACGGACCGAACTGTGACTTCGTCTTCTTCATTCGTCCGCCTCCTGCTAATCTGTGATGCTAGTATGCTACGACTTTGGGCAATTAGGCGTCCGTAAGGTAGAGTAGCATGGGCTTGGCTTTTAATTAAATTAGTTTCCTAAAAACGAATTAAATTAGCTTCCTAAAAATAATTAAGGCTTGAATCTATTTTTAATTTTTTCTGGGTCGGGAGTTCTGGCCCAGTTTTTGCGACTTGCAAATTAGGTGAGGAATCCGACGCCAACACAGCGACTTGGCGACGACTTGGCGATGCCAGACACGCCTGGGTTTCTTCTGGCGAGTCGCGTGAAGCCGGCGAGCTTCCCCCAGCGCCTGGACACCTAGTCGCCGACTAGGCGACGCCTAGGCGACGCCGTGACAACCATGATATTCTCTTACACAGATCATAGCAATTTGCCCCACCTGAGTTAAGACATTATTCATTTCTTTAGCTTTGATCTCCCTCACATATCCTTGCTTGATTCCTTGTAATACTAATTTCCTGTTGGATACCTTAAATGTCATAGTGAGCTCTTTAAAATCCCAAGAGATCTTTCCCAAGGTTTCCAACCATTGGACTCCTAAAACCATATCACAACCTCCAAATGGAATAACCATAAGATCAGTTGTGAATGGAGTTTGTTGGAATGTCCATTCAAACCCTTCTACTCTGGATGTTACATCAATGATGTTGCCATCTGCTACAGTAACTCTGGCCAGCCCATTGTTAATCAATTTGCAACCTAGCTTTTCAGCTATCCTTTGATCTATAAAGTTATGTGTACTGCCAGAGTCTATTAGAATGAAGAGTGCCCTTTTACCATGCATTCCCTTGACTCTCATGGTACTATACTGAGATACTCCAGTCATTGCATTAACAGAAATTTGAATATTTTCTTGTATTAACACCTCTTCTTCTGAATTCACATCCTCTTCATCTATCTCAATTAAAAATAGCTGGTTTTTCTTATGTTTGAGATAATGATCAGGTGTATATGGTTCATCACATTGATAGCATAATCCTTTGGCCCTTCGTTCACTCATCTCTGCTGCAGTGAGAATTTTTCTATTCCCTTTTGTCAAATCAACTGACTTCTGATTATTCCCTTCCTTATATACAGTTCCAGCTTTAGGTATGTTATTAAATGAAGTCTTCTTTCCCCCTTCATCATTTCTGTTAAAATTTCCTCTACCAAAGCCTGGATTCCCACTGACAGAACTTGTTTTAGGATGAGCCATTTCATACAATTTACCCGGGGTAAAACATTGACGAATAGACTGCGGTTGGAACATCCTTATATGCATTTGTGTGTCATTTCTTAAACCCGCTAAATAAGCACTCATCAAATGTTCTTCAGATAGATTTACGCGAGTTCTTATTGATTCAAAAATCTCATTATAAGCAATGATTCCATCAGTTTCCCTTAGTTTCATGAGATCAGCAATTGGATCATCTATAACTTCACCAAATCTTTCAGTTACTAACAACTTGTATCTAGGCCAATCAAGAATCATACCTCTGTTTTGTTCTGAAACCATTACAGACTGATGCCAGCAAGCAGCCTTATCCTCCAAATGAATTGATGCCAAATTTACCTTAATGTCTTCCGGAGTCCGATCAATATTAAAGAACTGTTCACATTTGAACAACCAATCTTTAACATTTGTTCCTCCAAATCTTGGAAAATCCAGTCTAGATAATCTTGTCAGTCCTGAATATCCTGGATTCGTTTGTGTGCGGTTCACCTGAGTTGAAGTCGAGCTCCTATTGTTCATCGTCTCCATAATTTCAAAAATTTCCTTTGAAAGTTCAGCAAATTTTGTAGCTAAAGAATCATCAAACTTCAGGCTCATATGTGTGAACTGATTCTCCATTTTTGCATCGATCTTCTTGCTTAAGTGATCTTCCAAAGCTATGAATCTGGAATTCATAGATTCTTCTACTTCTTGAACTGTCACCTCCTTGTGTGCTGATTGAGATCGAGTTTGAGTCATGGCGGTAGCGCTTCCGAGGTTCGAAGCTCTGATACCAATTTAATACAGTAATTCTATATTAACAAGAATTAAACTGGAAAATCAAATGAAGAAATCAAATGAAATGAGAATTAATGTGAAAACAACAATTCTCTACCCAAGTCCAGAACTGGTTTCTTGAGCAACAAGATGTACAGGGAGAGCGGAAGATATTATTGATAGAATTGAATGAGCAAAAGTGTACAGATTACAATGACCAGCTTCCTTTTATATCTAATAGAGCTGCTAAGAGCTATTAACCGACTTTAGTAAAGTAGTTATACACGTGTGAATTCAGTTAATAACTATTTGCTATATCACAATCAAATTGAGTAAATCTTCGGTCAAAAAGAGGTTGTTCGACAATTCCACTGACAAACCGATCTGGAATCCAAGAGGTAAGTTTAAATTACTTGACATTATCTAATCAGTTAAGTATTTCAATTTAATTGTATCAGATAAATCACTTAAATAAGCTTTTCAGTCTGATTTAATGAGTAGCATATTGAAGTTAATTTATAGATCTATGATGCTGTTCATATATATTTAATTTACAAAAGTACTCATTTTTACAATTTCGATTTGATTCACTGATTTATCTGTTAAAAATAGACACGGAGCAATTGAATGCTGTGAAGGAGGCATTGCACGCATCTACTGCTCCATCAAACATAGGTTGCCGAGATGTCGAGCAAAATAGGGTTTTGGAGTTTTGCAAGCAATGTGTTCAGCAGGAAAAGGCTGGCAGTTTGTATGTCTGTGGATGTCCAGGAACTGGAAAGTCACTCGCAATGGAAAGGTCAAAGAAGAATTAATTGAATGGGCTAAGAAGGTAATGCACTAACATGGAGTTACTAATGCATTAAATGCTGATGGCAATTTTAATTTTCTGCTAGCAGCTATCTTAAACACTCACTGCTAGAGTCCGAACAAATACATTATGGTTCGTCTGGGAACTTCTTTGGGTAATTTATTAGCGTATGTAGGTAATTTGCTTCAGGATCAATAAATCATCATATAAAATTACACTTAAATGGTTAAAACAGCATTTGATGCAAATTATCATTGATTTATTAGTTCTTTGCTCAGACTACCATTCAAATCTAAACCATGGAAAACATATTGATTACCTTCAGGGGGGATGTTCAGCAACCAGATATATTGTCCATCAACTGTACTTCTTTGACAAAGACTTCAGAAATTTTCAACAAGGTTTGTTAATTGAAAACAATTTGGTTGCAGGCTGGACCAAGCACAATTTTTCTTACATTTTCTTTATCTTATACAGATACTTGAAAGGGTTCAACCTAAGAAGAAGCCTAGTGGTTTGACTACACCACTGCAGCTTCTTCAGAAGTTGTTCATGTTCTCAGCGAAGCAGCAAGCTGGCACAGCCATGATGTAAAGCGAATTCATGTGTTCTCGTACTCTAGTATTTTCTATTTGGTTTCCTTGCAACTCGTGAAAATTTTACTCCGTGTAGTATTTCCTCTTTAATAAAAATGGAGTAATTGTGATTTGCTTATAGGTTAATAGTTGCTGATGAGTTGGATTATTTAATCACCAAAGACCAAGCTGTACTTCATGATCTCTTTATACCAACGACGTTTCCTTTCTCTCGTTGTATTATATTAGGTATGAAATGTTCCTTTTGTCTTTCATCTGAACATGTCCTTATTTCTAGTTTTGATGCTGATAATATTGAGTGGAGTTTTCCAAGACTGACCACTATTTGGCCTCACCTTATCAGGAATCGCTAATGCTATTGACCTTGCTGATAGATTCCTTCCCAAACTTCAGGCTTTGAACTGTAAGTAAATACTTTTGAGTGATATTTATTACTTTAAGCTTCAATATTTTATTAAATCATGAGATATAATGATATACGTTCCATAAAAATATATAAACAAAAAGTCACTGTGAAGTGCTAATATATGTCCTGCCATTATTCCCAGGCAAGCCGATGGTTATAACATTTCGTGCATACTCCAAGCACCAGATCATCATGATTCTTCAACAAAGATTAGCAGTAATTACCATATACTTCTTTTCCTTGCCCCATCTCAATTTTAGTATATATGGCGTCATATTGGTGATATTTTCTGAGCTATTTACACATTTGCATGTTTCTTTCAACAGGCACTTCCGTACACAGTCTTCCAGCCTGAAGCACTGGAGCTATGTGCAAAGGTAGGATTAGTAGCATATGTTCTCATAGTGCATGCACCATTCTTTCCCAATTTCTTAATCTGGAATTTGATTTACATTGCAACTTTGATTTGACAAAATACATTCCATCATAATGAATAACAGAAAATTGCAACTGCATCCGGAGATATGAGGAAAGCGCTTTCAATTTGCAGGTTTGTGACATGATTTCCAATTTTCGTATCTGAAACTTTTTGTCTACTCAAGTGAAAATAACATATTCTATACCTCGTGCTTAATAATATTAAACATCAGCTGTGATTTTTTCAAGTGTATTGTAACTAACCATAAATAATTTTCCTGTTACCACTGGATTTCTAGGAGTGCAATTGAGGTGTTAGAAGCTGAGTTTAGACACTCCACCAACAGCCCAAGTTTTTCTAAGATTGAGACTGAAGTTTGTAATTCCCCTTCTGCTACTCTGATGATGCCAGATAACAATATTGTAAGTCACTTGAGGTTCGTTATGGCAAATTTGATTCCAATTTGGGCTTTTGATCTTACTATTGCATCAACTTGTATAGGTCAGGGTTGACCATGTTGCTAGGGCTTTATCAAATGCATACAAATCCCCCGCAGTAGACACCATTCAGTCTCTTCCCCAACATCAACAGGTATTTTACTCTACACTGGCATTTTTATTAGCATTTGGGTATGTATCACTTAACTGGTCTTTTGTGACAGATCATCCTTTGTTATGCTGTAAAGCTGTTTCGTGGGGGGAAGAAGGATTTGACAATAGGCGAGGTAAAAAGAGTTCATTAATATTAATTCAAGCATTTTTTAATCTGGGGTGTAATAAATAGCCATGCATATGGTGTGTACGTTGCAGTTGAGCAAGCACTACATGGATGTGTGTAAATCAACTTCAATTCCAGCTATTGGTATTATGGAACTGTCAAGTATGTGCAGAGTGCTTGCTGACCAGGTAACATCTATAAAAAAACAAAACTCTCTTAATTTTCTCAGATTGACAAAAAATAGAAAGGAACTAGAAACTTAGGGGCAAATTTATTTGCAGGGGCTCCTAAAGATAGGACAATCTCGAGACTCTAAATTGAGAAGAGTGACTTTGATGGTTGATGAAGCAGACATCACTTTTGCATCGCAGGTAGGCATTTTTTTGTGTTTTTATATATGTTTGGAGGCTCGGCTTGCTCAACAGTTTTTGCTTGAACAGGGAGTTCGTTTTTTCGTAACTGTCTTCAGTGACCACGGAATTTGGGTGGGATCTTATACTTCTGCTACTTCTGTTTGCAACTCATTCAAATGAATGAGTTGCTAGCGAAGGAATATAGGTTAGGTGCATAGATTAAGTATAGAGGATTTGACTAAATCTATTTATTACGAAGTATATGTTTTTGCAATACTGTTATAGAAAGCCCTCAAATGGTCAAGGAAGCGCAGTGTGGTAAACTGTAGTATTCCATGCCATTGGCATAGTTTAGTTTCATTGAGCATTTGATTATGATTATGAATGGATAAATTACGAACACCTTTGTTGTAATACTACAGTCATTATTATGTACTCGATATAAAAAATCAAAAGTTACTTTTGTTTATCTGCTTATGTAAGTTACTAGATCAATTGCAGCAAGCTATTTGATACTACGTATTATAATAACAATAACCCTCGGTAAACCACAAAAGGGAATTGAGTTTTTTTGGGCTCATCCTAAAGCTGGTTAACCACATAATTGTATTGAACCTAACCTGAAAATCGTGTTCATGATCCTGAATTCCTTGTAGCTAGCTGGCAAACACAAGTCAAAAGTTGGACTGAGAATCAGAACCGCCTTCACATAATCATAATACAAATATCATTCGAGGAATAGTAATGTATGTTAAATCATCAATGATCAGGTAATGGAAGTGAGTTTAATGTTACTAGTTCTTCACCCGTGCAACGGTATTAAATATTTTGTAATTTTGAGTTCTAAATTAGTTACATGTATTATAAATTAATTTGATATATGGGTTATATTTTTTATTCTACTTTGAGAATGTATGCAATGCCGAAAGATCGATCATAAATGTTATAATAAAACATGAATTTTAATATTTTGTTCACTTGTATGGAATACGACAAATCGTTTACAAATTTTTGAACACTTCCTTATACACTACATTAAGTGTAGAATTGTTGGGCTCACCTTTATCATCACATATCATGAATTGTAATCCTGATGGATTTGTAACCCTAGATACCGCCACATACAACCTTGACTCTTGTGCCGGGTCACAATAAGCCGAGTACCATTGCATAACCCCGAAGAGAAATCAATATTCCTCATGAGCATGACAGGTACACTTACCTTTAACCTGATTTCATGTGCCGGAACTCCAGAACAGTGTATTCAAGGAATTCGGGTGAATGGATTTTGTATAATACTACCTTGATCCCTTAAAATTCGATTAAGAGGGAAAAGTGGGGTTTATTCAAAAAAGTGTTACCGTGTACTTGATATTGAATTGTTAAAGTGTGAATAAATTATAAGGAAGATGGATAACGTTAGAGTTATTTTTATGGCTGAATTTTTGGAATTTATGATGTTTTTACTTGAATTGAAATTTGCTGGTTTGATCTGGTTTGTTTAAGTTTGGTCTGGTTTGAACTGATCTGATCTGTTTAAATTTGATCGATTTCGTCTATATTTTCATATAATAATTTCTTTATGTTTCATATAAAAATTATTTTAAGCGTTTTGTATACCTTAACAAGTTCAACCAATTTACCCGCTTCATCAACTTAAGTAGAATAAGCCGATTAAGCCAATTTTAGTATTACCGAACAAGTTCTAACAACTACAATATCATGAACATTAATTATAATTTTTAAAACTGAAAATGCTATTTTTTGGGCAAGTATCAATTTTTTTTTTAAAAAAATGGTAGCCCTGTAAACAATAAAAATGAATGAAATTGTACAATAATTTTTATTTTTGATTGGTAATTTTCAATCTTTTGGGTTCCTGTATTAATAAAGAAAATGAAAGATAGTAAACGATCTTTCGAACCTTGAATTTGTAAAATTTCTTTTCAAAATAGTATATTTTGTCCTCTAAAATAAAATAATTGTCACAAACAAACCTCCAAAAACTTTTTTTGTTTTTAAATCTATCTATTCTGGATATTGTTTAACTTAAGATATCCAAATTCTGTAGAAATCAACCATGCAAGTGATCAGACACTTAGTCTAAGGAACACAGACAAAAAAAAATGAAAAGGCATAAAACCACTTTCCGCCATTGTGTATACACATCATTAAGGAAAGAGCATGAAAGATAAGAAAGCAACAGTCCTGAGAAATATGAGCCAGACACAGCAGTGATACCAAATATGCCCATGAAGTAACTCCAAGTTGGTTGCACACAGGGCCGGTCCTAGGGGAGGGCAGCAGGGGCGACCGCCCTAGGCCCAATTTTTTTTTTCTTTATATGAAATTTGAGTAGGCTTCTTTTTTATTTATAATTTCAATTAATTAATTAGGCCTAATGTGTAATATTTCTTGAAAATTTGAAAATTTTAAAACATAAGTAAAAAGTCTTAAATGGAGCTAGACAAGTTTTAAAAAAGAATGTAAATTTATTTTTGATTTTTAAATAGAGTTGGTTGTGAGTCAACACATTTGTTGTTGAATCAATAAAAGCATTTCTCTTCACATCTTTTTAGCCTTTAAGACTTTTTATTCTTTTTTATTACAAAATTATCAATTTATATTATTGTCTTTGGGTTTTCAGTGCCTCCAATTCTCAAACATCATCCCAATTATCTATTATGCCTCAAAAAACTTAATGGATTAACAATTTTAAACATTGCACATGTGATCTTGGAAAAGATTGATTATAAAGCAATTATTGATTATTTTTTCATTCACAATGTTTTTTTGTGATACTTGTGTTGTTACTTTTGTCCAAATATGTATTTCAAATAATATGAAGGTGAATTTCATCTTTATTTTATAACCTTTATTAGATAGTTGGAGGGAGAATTCATGAAATAGGAGTAATTTTTTGAGAATTCCAAAAAAGGACTATCATGTGTTTATTTTATGAATATGAGTAATTACTGTCATGTTCAGAAAATACTACCATGTGTAAAGTACGATACTGTCAAAAATCAAAATATGGCGGTAATTACTTCTATTTAGGTAATGAAAACATGATAATCTTAGTTTGGAATATACAGACGTTTTTAGTCCTATTTAGAGTAATTTCTCATAGTTTTATTATACTCTGTAGTTTTTACTTTAAGTAAGTATAATTACCGGCCTGTTTATCTTGGAAATAAGGCCAAAATAGTATATCGCCCATAGGCCCAAAATCGGAAAGGACCGGCCCTGGTTGCACATGTTCACAGCAATACAAAAGATATTCTGTAAAGTCACTTTGACTTTTACACAAAGGGCACATAGACGGATTCAACACCTGTTGAAACCTACCCAGGTTATCAGTTATAGGAAGGATACCATTCAAGATTTTCCATTGTAACAGTTTTATTTCCATTTGTTGTTTAGGATGTCAATTATGAGCAAAAGAAAAAGTTGCAGGCAGCCCATTCCTCATTCCTTCAAAAGCAGATCTAAAGGAGAAATTTCCATCCTCACTTGCCTCCCAGTATATGCCATCACAAGAAGAATTACACAGATAAGAAGCAGTGTCATGCATAGAGCAAATCCTTCTCCAAACAAAGGAGTCAGAAACCTCTGGCACCATATTCTCTCCTCTAGCATATTTGGCCCGAAAGAAGTTAGTCCAAATAAAATTCCCAGTTTTCCATTTCCACAGTCTGATCATTGAGTGAGACTCCGTCAAGAAGCTTCACGCACTTCAACTCCTAGTTAACAATTAAAGTGCCCACATTAGTTTAAACACTGCTAATAGTATAAACATATTATACATTCAAAAAGTGAAAGGAAAAAAGTAACCTGAAAAGATGGGATGTACCTTTATGGTGATATGTATTCATAAAAACAAACCATGTTGAATTCCCAAGCAAAAAATGTCATGATAGCAAAAAGATAATCAAAACTTCAAGTCCATGCATGCTAAAGTTTCAACTTGAGTCTCCTTATTATAAAGTAGAAAGAAAAAAGTGGACAAATCAATGGACATAGTATTTAGCAGAGAGAAAAATCCAGCTTACATATTGAGGACCTTTTCTCTAATTTGAAACAAACGGCATATTCTTCTTTATCATGTGAAACAATGTTGAAATGAAAAATAAAGCCTGACCTTACACAAGTAACAACCATGGTCACAGTCTAACTTTAATGGTGAGAATCAAAAGTGCAAAGGTAAAAGATGGAATGTCAGAGCACTCCTAACATTTGCTCTTTTGGTAAGATTGAGACCAATAGGAACTAAAGATGTGTTTACTTGGACTGTAATTTGCTGGTCTGGTCTGGTCTGTACTGGTCTGGTCTGGTCTGGTCTGGTTTCTTTGTATTTTTATAACTATCCAAGTCTGGTCTGGTCTGGTCTGGTCTGGTCTAGTCTGGTCTGAGACGAATTACAGTCCAAGTAAAAACATCCTAATTCCCATGAAAATAGAGAATGTCTAAACGGATCACCCGAGTTTAAGTGTTTATATACTTTTTGCTTAGTTGAGATAGCATGTAAGTAATGTATTGGGTAGATGTTTATTACAATAAATATGACTTACCTCATCTTTTTGGCATATAAGAAATAGCAGGGAGCCATGAATGATAAGGTCGTTATAAAAACTAAATTCTTTTTCATAGTTGAATTTACGCACACACATATATATGGGATATTTTGACTTTGCACCCCGTTTTTGGGGTAATATTGGACTTTGCACCCCATTTTTAAAACTCTTAGACTTTGCACCCTATTTCCCCTAAAATGTCTTTGCCTTTTCACCCCATTAAGGAATTTTTCTTCACAAAATGTTGTAGATAGGGTGCAAAGTTTAAAAGTTTTGAAAATGGGGTGCAAAGTCCAATATCACCCAAAAAGTGAGGTGCAAATTCAAAATTCTCCTATATATATATACCTCAATACAAATTTTTTTATGTCCCACAAAATAAAAGGATTATGCAATAAGAAAAAGAATTGAATCAAAGTAATAAAGTTGTAATTTTCCAGATCATGGTATCTAAAGCCACACACAGAACGTTGGACGTTTTCACCAATTGCTTACTGAAGTTTGTATTAAAGTAAAACAACGAAATATAATAGATAATCATTCAAAGGATCAACTATATATGCTAGAAATCCAAATTTATTAAAACGACTAATATTAAAAGATCACATGAAAGAAAAGCATCATGAAGAGATGTTCATGGAGCAAGTATATATGCTATTAATCCTAATTTACTAAGAGTGCAGAATGCTTTAAAGAGGTTTAAAAATCAGGAAGCTTGAACTTCAGTCCATCTCTAGCTTGATGAACTTCTGTTTTTTGACACTTGAGCCTTGGCTGGATCCTGTTTCAGATCCTAGAGGATCACCTTCCGAAACTCGTTTTGAAATTGATGAGTGTGGAGTTGGGACATTTTC